TTTATCAGATGCAGGAAAATGGAACTCTTCTATTCCCTGCGATCAATGTCAATGACTCTGTTACCAAGAGCAAGGTATATATTTACTTCTTCTCATTTATTATTTTCTGGATCGCATACAACCATGATAGATCTCCCCTATTCCCAATCCTGCTTGATGTCGCTACCTCTAGGTCTAGATCTGATACTATATTAACAATGTTTCATATGCAAAGTCAAATTAGGATGATTTTGGGATGCAGTGTGTGTTTTTTTTGTTTTTCATGAGTATATTTATGCATGCTGTAAGTTTGATTGCTTTTGATTCGATATGGATTATTAATTTACATATGAGGAAAGATTAGGTGAAGTGTGCCTAAATTGTAAATCTAATAGAGGCAGTTGATGTTCCCTCATATAACATGTTTATTTGGTTCTTAAATCTTTTTTCAAATACTCTACTGGGTAGGTTTGTTTATATTCTGATGCTGGTATGCTTCATCAGGTTTTAATTGTGTAACCTTATTTTAAATTGTAGAATTATAACGTGAACTTTTATGTTGTTGGATCATTGGATTATGCTATTATTAGTGTAGTACATTACATATTTAAATGAATGATGAAGTTGGTGACTTTGTTTGACAGTTTGACAACCTGTATGGATGCCGCCACTCTCTACCCGATGGTTTGATGAGAGCCACTGATGTCATGATTGCCGGAAAGGTTGGAGTGGTATGTGGATATGGAGATGTGGGCAAGGGTTGTGCTGCAGCCCTGAAGCAGGCAGGTGCCCGTGTGATCGTGACTGAGATTGACCCAATCTGTGCTCTTCAGGCCACTATGGAGGGCATCCAGGTTCTTCCTCTAGAGGATGTAGTTGCTGATGCTGATATCTTTGTCACCACCACTGGTAACAAGGACATCATCATGGTGGGAGACATGAAGAAGATGAAGAACAATGCCATTGTTTGCAACATTGGTCACTTTGACAATGAAATCGACATGCTAGGGCTCGAAACCTACCCAGGGATCAAGAGAATTACCATTAAGCCCCAAACAGACAGATTTGTCTTCCCTGAAACAGGAAAAGGTGTGCTTATTTTGGCAGAGGGCCGTCTCATGAACTTGGGTTGTGCCACCGGACACCCCAGCTTTGTCATGTCGTGCTCGTTCACTAACCAAGTGATTGCCCAGCTTGAGCTGTGGAAGGAGAGGGCTACCGGGAAGTATGAGAAGAAGGTCTATGTCTTGCCAAAGCATCTTGATGAGAAGGTTGCAGCCCTTCATCTTGGGAAGCTTGGTGCTAAGCTTACTAAACTCACACCTGAGCAAGCTGCATATATCAGTGTTCCAGTTGAGGGTCCTTACAAGCCTGCCCAGTACAGGTACTAAGCAGAGACGTTTCCCGGGATCAAGAAGGGAGTGTTTTTTTTATCTGATCAGAAACAGAAGTTCTTTTTTTGTAATTGTTGGGGACATGTTGAGGTGTTTGGATACTAGAAGCTGAGATCTCTGAACAAGAGAGAGACCATCTACGATATGTTGAATAAGTTTTTGGTGGGGGGAGGGGTCTTTTGGTATTATTGTTTCTTAGATTGGTTTGATTGCTCGCTTATGTTGTTTCTTTTCTTTAAAAAATGAAGGCCGGTTTTGTTTTCTTTGCTGCTTGTCCAATCTTTTTCACTTTTTACATCAGGAAAAACGTTATGTAGGGTTGTGCTTCTGTTTTTCAATTTCATCTCAGTCAAATTGAATGGTTCTAGACTTCTAGCAATTGATTTTAGGATTTCGGCCTTTAGTTGGAAATCTGCATTCTGCAACATTTTTAATCTTTTATTAATGGCATATGATCCTATAAGACAGATTAACCATTATTTAACACTTAAAACTAAAAAATTATCAATTTAGGGTGTCAAGTCTCAATGATGATTGTTTGTCAATAAAACATCTGATTTAATATGGACGTTCAAAGGTAAATTTTGAATAAGTTTTTGGTGGGGGAGGGGTCTTTTGGTATTATTGTTTCTTAGATTGGTTTGATTGCTCGCTTATGTTGTTTCTTTTCTTTAAAAAATGAAGGCCGGTTTTGTTTTCTTTGCTGCTTGTCCAATCTTTTTCACTTTTTACATCAGGAAAAACGTTATGTAGGGTTGTGCTTCTGTTTTTCAATTTCATCTCAGTCAAATTGAATGGTTCTAGACTTCTAGCAACTGATTTTAGGATTTCGGCCTTTAGTTGGAAATCTGCATTCTGCAACATTTTTAATCTTTTATTAATGGCATATGATCCTATAAGACAGATTAACCATTATTTAACACTTAAAACTAAAAAATTATCAATTTAGGGTGTCAAGTCTCAATGATGATTGTTTGTCAATAAAACATCTGATTTAATATGGACGTTCAAAGGTAAATTTTGAATAAGTTTTTGGTGGGGGAGGGGTCTTTTGGTATTATTGTTTCTTAGATTGGTTTGATTGCTCGCTTATGTTGTTTCTTTTCTTTAAAAAATGAAGGCCGGTTTTGTTTTCTTTGCTGCTTGTCCAATCTTTTTCACTTTTTACATCAGGAAAAACGTTATGTAGGGTTGTGCTTCTGTTTTTCAATTTCATCTCAGTCAAATTGAATGGTTCTAGACTTCTAGCAACTGATTTTAGGATTTCGGTCTTTAGTTGGAAATCTGCATTCTGCAACATTTTTAATCTTTTATTAATGGCATATGATCCTATAAGACAGATTAACCATTATTTAACACTTAAAACTAAAAAATTATCAATTTAGGGTGTCAAGTCTCAATGATGATTGTTTGTCAATAAAACATCTGATTTAATATGGACGTTCAAAGGTAAATTGGAACCTAAAATTTGTGGTGTATGTGTCATGTACTCAAGTACCCATGTGTGTAAGTGTGTAACACAAACACAAAATTAAGACTTCGGCTATGTGAAATTGGTATGAAAAGACTTGAAAATGTCACTTTAGAAATTATTTTCTTATACTTGGACTTGCAGCGTTGATGCAAAGTAAAATGAGCTACGATTAATGTTTTAATTTTTTTGTGTATTGCTTAAAATGTTTAGTGTTTATTTACATAATAATAAATACGCACATAAAAAGAATACATTATTTCTTCGTATTTTAATCCGCTTTGTGATCTTTTGCCTGACTTTTGGTAGCCTGGTAGGTACAATGTGTTTTCTACGTCGGTTTGGTCATGTGGTGTTTCTTTCCTTCGAAAAATGGAGGCCAGTTTTGTTTTCTTTGCTGCTTGGCGAAATCTGTTTTCACATTTTTACGCAAGACAAAACGCTATGTAGGGGTGTACCTAATTCTTCGTTCTCAATGGCTCTTGAGACTTATTTTCGGCCTTGGTGGGAAATTTACACCATTTTGATTCCTAAATTAATGGGCACGTGAAGTTGGGCATCGAATCAAACCAATACAGCTTTTCTACTTTGAAAAGCAGATTCTATATTTTGTGCCATTTTCAAAGAGAATAAATTGTGGGGTTTTAACCTCAATTTTGCTAAAAGTGGATAATGAATGAAAATTTGATACTACGTACGAAGTATTTTTTAATTTCTAAATATGTGACTAACAAGGTTATATTATTTGAAAAACACGATATCACTACTAGATTTTCCATGTTACAATCAGATTTTCATGTCGCCGTGAAACATATCATTCTAACCGCTGGAAAATTTTTTAAAGTCTTTTTCCACATTATCTGATTTTCGTGTACTCTAAAATGAAGTGGTCACTTCCCGGCATTAAAATCTGAATCGGTGCCCGCGACTCTGCGAGTCGAGCTGCACACATACTTGGCAGTATCCAAACTCCCAAGTAAACTGTATACTTGCACAACTGCTCCCTAGAGTGGCTTCACGTGTTCACCATTGTGGATTGAGTGAGGGAGAATGGTGTGGAAGGTGATATATGACCACTATGTTGACATGATAGATGACAAGGTAAAAAATACTCTTATTTGGTAACATAAGTTTAGAAGTACCATAGTTTGGAAAATAAGATTGAAAATTACTCTCTCTTTGGGAAACAACTCATATCTCTATCTCCCTAGGTTTGGTACATGAGGCAGTGGTGCAAGTTTTTAGAAAAATGAGTTTAAAGTAAAATGATTTAAAACCACAAAAATATTATCAAATTTGGTGGGAACAAATTCACTTGTGCAGACTCTGGTTGAACATATATTTGGTGGGAACAAATATTACCTTCTAATTTGATTGATTTCGTAGCAATACCAGTTCAGCTATGTTTAAATCTCATAAAATGCCTCCAAAATGAAAGAAAATTACAAGTTAATCTGATGTTTTAGGCTTCAATTCCACTTCTATGTTTTCAATTGATTTGTGGTATGAAATGATATGATTTATTGAAATTTGATCTAGTCTAGTTTGATTTAATATAATATGGTAAATGTCTATTATTAATATATTTTACTATTGTCTAAGTCTAATTAAATATGTTCTCATCTGATCTATTATATTTCATTCAAGTATAATCTAGTTCCTGAAACCACCTCAAATGAAAAAACATCATTGATTTTGAGTTAGAAAGGTTGAGATAACCTTTCCTTTTCAAGTTCTTACCTTTGATGAGTATATATAAACATAAGATTAAATAAAAATGAAACCTCTTTTTTGACAATAAATAAAAAATGAAACCAAAGAATTATTAAAAAGAATTTATTGAGAATGAACTAAAAAATATCACAATTTCAATCCCAGACTCGCGTATTTCTCTATTTTTTGCCCTAGCATTTAATCTGCATTCCAAAAGAGAACATAGCTTAAATTATCCAGGTCGAACATTGTTTTAATAAGATCATGCTTCACAGCTTCAATACCTCAATAATACAAGAATGTTGCTCATGATGCCCAAAAGCGCAGGTAGACATTAGAACAACTACTCTAATTAAGACATGAATAACTCAATTCACTTATCGCTTTAGAGGAAAAACACCACACTATCCAAACTAGTCGCTAAATTGCATGATGAGTATATCATTAACTAGAATTTCGATTAAATTAGTTGTTTTCGGGACTCTTTCCCCGAAATGCATGTAAATATAACTTTGCATTTCAGAAAGAAAAAAAACTCTGTGTTTGTTGCAATGGAGGGAGCATAATGTATTTGGTTAATTGGTTTTTGGACAAGTAAATGCATAAAGTAGTTTACATACAAATCATTACATTATTACTAGATCTATTCTATAGTCCCAGCTGAAATACAAAGCCGGAGGGATTCCTTGAAACCATTGCCTATTATGGCCACCATGAACATGCTCGAAAGATCGATAATCTTAACTGCATTTTCACTAGAGCTGTGATTAAGGGGTAAAGGCTATGTACATATGCTATGGGACTGAATGAAAAATTGATAATGGTGACTTCAGATGTTAGGCATTCTTGCACAGCACAATCTGTTAGACCAAAGAAACATGCAAGCATAGCATGGACGAATCATATTCGAAAAACACACACAAAAAAAAAACTAAATAAATATACTGAACTTTACTGTAATGAATATAGGAAGCAGAATTTCAAGAAAAGTGGCGGACTCAGAACTTTTTCCAAGGAGATCGGAATAGGCACGGGTCAAAACTAGCCTGAAACTCGTCTGATAAATTCAGGTTTCCTGAATAAAGAATTTTATCTCTAACCTAGTACACTAGATTCATATTTCAGTCATGTACATATGACGGTTCCAGGCCTCATTCTCAGTCCATTTGGAAAAGCCTAAACATGAAGTTCATCTTTTTTATGAGACAAATTGTCCTATTTTGAAAATACTAGAGGTAAAATTGTAAAATAATATTGTAAAATTAATACGAAAGTATTATTCAATTGAATCAAAAGCAAATGTAACAAGGTACCATGTAATTACTTTTTGGGGACCGAGAGCGGTGTGTTTACCCCTGATTCTCCAGTATAGATATTATCATCAAAAGAGTTTTCTATTTCAAGAAAGAAGTAGCTGCTTTTATTCACTTATTTGAAGTTACTTGATAATTGCCCTGTACATTAATGTTCAGGAAGCATGACACTTTAAACGAATTCCTATTGGCTTTACTAGTGAAATGAATTCGAAGTATTTTCTTTGAGTTTGTTTAGTGAATTACACTAAAACTGTCCAATTAGAATCCTATGAGAAATATTGAAATAATGTTACCTCAGCCTATACTCTGCCAGGTTTATAGCATACTCAGCGCAATAAAGCAAATGTTCATACAGGCAGAGTATCGCTGAGGTAACATTATAGCTGTATCTTTGGAAAGGGGATCTCTTACTCGATCAGAGTTTGATAGTTATAAACCACGCAGAGTATAGGCTGAGGTAACATCAAAGCAAATTTTACCTCGAGTAATAAGCATATGTTCATACTCAGATTTTCTTACGGTTATAAAAATACAGTTATACTCAGCACAATAAAGCAAATGTGCACACTCAGTTCTAGTTTGAGAGTTATAACTATCAAACTGGCAAGGGGATCTCTAACTCAATCTTTGGCAGCCATTCTTTAATTTTTATGACAGTTTCATTATAATCATTAACTCTCAATATATTACTACCTGGAAAGTGGAAAGTACCCATACTTGCATTTGACAATTTGAGGATAGAAAATTTACCCATTGATCTTCTTATATACAAATCCAATAAATCAAGAAAAGAAGCCAAAAAATTACCAATTTCATTTCTTTACAACACAACTGCTCAAGAATGGATGCCATTGACCTCTCTGGCACATCTTGTGATGATCTCACAGCCTCTGTTGTAGGAGTTAGCTTTAGCAGGACCCTTGCAGTAGTAGTAGGAAGCACCAGGTATATCACAAGGCACCATATCTCTTCTTAGAGTTTCATAGCTAATGTACCTCCTACGCACCAACAAAGCCCTCCTATTGCTCTCAGAATTCATCTCTCCTTCTTCCTCCTCCTCTACCAAAGCCATGGCAGGGCACTCGCTGGTCATTCCAGCACAACCCCTTTTCACCATTACATCAAAGTTAATGTCTTTCACTGGATTCAGCCCGATTGTTTCTGAAGCCGCCCCATGGAAGATTCTCATCCTGGAATTCAAGAAAAGTAGGGTTAATATGATGGCGCGGAAGGGTTGGAAATGCAGATGCAGTTGGGGTTTCATCATTTGTGGTTAAGAGATGCATGTGAGGTGAGAGATATGTGGTGAAGACTGAAGAGTAAATGCTGAAATTTGAAGGGGAAAACACCCCCCAGACCCCAGTGACTGTTCATGCCAGGTACCTCAATAAATGGAACAGATAAATGAGCAAATCCTTGCATTCATTTAGCGCCTGTCATTTGAATTCTTTATTCATAATGTTTTTAATTGAGGCTTGAATAGATTTCTAGTCTATAAAGTAGGGAGTACTACCTTTTCTTTTAATTGAAAGTAAATTCTCAATTACGTAGTAATTCCTATTGAATAGTCATTAATTGCAAGGAAATCCTAAATTCATAATATTTACATATATTATGGAGCATCAATTTATAAATAAATTACATCATACCATTTAGAGAGAAACCCACATATAATGATTGTACATTTATACTCTTTTGCATATTCCAACATATTTATTCATATGTACAATATTTTTTTTTGTAATAAGCAGAATAAATTTTTATTCTACAATATTAAGTTTCTTTTGACAATAATAGTTATTTTTATTTGAAAAAAAATCAAAAGAATAATTTAATTTAAAAAAAGCAAGTGAATATAATATTTATTTAGTTATAAAGAGTATAATGATTAGATTTTTTTATAAGGTTCCCAAAAAAAACAATAGTTTTTGTTGATAAATGCGATAAAAATGTGAATGTATTCAAAACATAAGAGATAATGGTTAAAAAATTATTGATATATTTTCTTATTTAGTTTTAAAATTGACATTTTACATTTAGTAATAAAATTGCCTTTCAAATTACGCTTAAAACAGAAAAAGCATTTAAAAATACAAATTATGATTTTCAATTTAAAGAATTGAAATAATACTGATAAAGTATGATATAATAAGTAAATTGTGACTACATACACGTTGTGTATTCTCCTAAGTTCTAAATGAATATAAACCATATTTATCTATATTTTTATATTCTCCATAAAATTATGGGAATAGTATACTATACTAAATGTGCATGTATTTAGGATAAGAAAAAAATACATAAATTGAAATAATTTCAGATTTTTTGATTCTCCATATTCATTTTGTATATAGATTATCGAGTTAAGAAATTGAAATAGTATTGATCAAATACGTAGTATACTAAGTTAAATTGTAAGTACATGCACATTGTGAGATTTTCAAAGTAAATATAAAAACACTTTTTCTTATTATTTTATTCTCCATAATATTATGAAATTGTCAATTTCTACTGAATATGCATGCATTAGAGATACTGAAAATAAACAAATTGATTTACTTTTAAATTTATATATTTGGATTTTTTTGTAACCATTATGCTTGCATGGTGAAATAAACCTTCTTAAAGTTTGATTTATACCTTGAAAGATAAGTTTTAATATTGGCCAATCTTACATGAAAAAATGGCACATGTAATAGAGCCCGTTTGGTAGCACGAAAATCAGCTGTTTTGGCTGATTTTGCTGAAATTTATGAAGTTCTGGCTGAAGTGGATGCATTGGTTGATTCTGCTGATTTAAGAAAAAAATATTTTTAAAATATATGTGACTAATAAAATAAAGAAAAAATTATATGTAAAATAGCTAAAATGGTCATCTACAGTAACTTCAGCCAATGTAGCCAGAAAGTAACTACAACCTTACTAATAAGTTCATATTTCAACACGCATTTGATGCGTGTTGGGATTGGATTTTGATGTTTTTCCTTGCTTTAAGGTGTTGCAAGTCTCAATTTTAGCTCAAGTTGTGATTACTAGGCATTGGGTCGAGTGTTGTTGCATTTGGAGTCAAATTGAATAAGTTAGAGTCCGGCAATCGGCGCTTGAGAGACAATCGGGAGGAGATAGAGAGCATTCAAGAGAGATTTGAGAGACTTGGAGGTCACCGGGAGGATCACGGCAAAGAATGGATGAAGAAATGGTCTTTGGATCGATTATAGAAGCGTCCCGGAGCATTTGGAACAAGAAAAGACAAGTTTTGAAGATGAAAAGGGCAGGCACGGTAATCAGTACAAAAATGTACCTGGTCGCTGGAAAGGCAGGCACGCCGTGCCTGGCCCTTAGGCACGCCGTGCTGGCCCTTAGGCACGCCGTGCCTATAGAAGAAATATGTACCGGGTTGCTAGAATGGCCAGGCACGCCATGCCTGGCAGGGAGGCACTCCGTGCCTGGACCCGAAGTTACGAAACACGGGCTTGCTCCGCAGGCACGGTCGTGCCTGACCCCGTTTTAGTCCTAATTCAACCCAAACTCATCTTTTTCTATAAATAAGGCCCTCATTCTCCTATTTCGGGGTTACAAACATTACGTAGAGGCATAGGGACGAATTTAACACCTTTTTTACGCTATTTTCTTCCAAGACCCTGGAATTATTTGTAAGTTCATCTTTTTAATTAATGACAATTATTTCTATTCATCCCAATTCTGTTGATTCTTCAATTATGAATTGTGAGTAGTTTTAATTAGGGATTTGGGATTGATGAAGGGGTTAATCATGATTGATGGCTAGATTCTTGTTGGTTTAATTGCATGAATGCCGTTTAGTTTGTGTTTGAATAATTTAACTGATATCTTTTGTAACCTGGAACCGCGGCTAGAATTACAATTGCTTATAGAATAAATTAAGAGAGATCTAGTTTATTCTAGGACACATTCACACACACCTAATCGTTCGCTAAGAGATTAGTAACGATTAAGGGGCCATAAGCTCGCTCGTTTTGACAATAATTTAGGATCTTGTCGCATGAGAGATCAGCCTGGTCCCCTAAATTATTGTACTCTACGCCGCGAGAGCGGTAAGAACTTAGTAATGATTAGCTAGGCTCAATTAAATTAAACTCATGTAATTAGGCCTGTTCTGCCAGAAATCTGGTTAACCCCGGAATCAATTCTTGTTCCCTTCGTCGTTAATTGAGAAGAAACCAAGCTTTATTTTTACTCGCTCATTCACGTTAGTTTAATTTTAATTCACCAATCAACCTCGCACACTTGTAATTTTATTTTATTTTTTTTTCTTTTAATCGCTGAATTTAGTTAATCTTTAATTCCCTTTTGTCCGTCCCTGTGGAGACGATACTCGTACTTTCAACCACTTTACAACATCATTCTTAAGTGCGAGAAAACACACATCACTTACCTTTTCTGCTTATTACACAATTCAGCGCGCGGAAGCAAAAGTTACGTGTTTGGTGAAAAAGTTGGCTGATAAGCCTGATAAGCCGAAAAACAGTGTTGCCAAACGGTCTTTTAGTGTTAGTCTTTTCAATTCCAAAAATATGACGCTTTACATTTTTTCATAGTGACCTATTTTCTACCACTTCAACCGAGTTTCCCTTTTCATTACAAAAATGATCTTTGTACCCACTCTTATACACACATTTGTACTCACCTATGTTTGTGAAGGTTTTTTTTGTCTGTGAATACCTGTTCACAGACAATATTTTGCACAAACAAAATATTGTCTGTGAATCGGGTTCACAGTTAAAAAAAATCTTCACAAACATGGTGAGTATAAGATTGATATAAGAGTGAGTATATCAAGCATTGAGTTGGAAAGTATGGGCTTAGTTTTCTACATCTACGGATAACTCTTGTCGTTTCCCTTCAATTTCGTCAAAGGAACACTGCCATCACCCTCTTCAATGCCACCACTCATCTATTCTTGCACCGACCATTTATCAATGATCTAATTTTCGTCCAAGACATTTACTAACCACAACGAACAAATGAACAAACGTTTATTTAAAGTAAAATGATGATTTATTTATATGTTGTATCTTGTAAAGTATTCAAACATTCTCAAAATCCGTCCAGGTAAGACACCAGTATCAGTCCAAAATAGACCAGAACAAATCAGATTTAAATATACTAGACTTTGATCGGTATAAAATACACATAAATTAGACTTTTATTATATCATATTTAAACAGATCAAATCAGACTAAAAAATCAATTCAATTAAAAACTACCTTATATCTCGAATTGCAAATGACATTTTTCATAAAAACACTTTTGCTTAGAATATAGGAAAAATCGCACTTTATGTCCCTCAAATAGTACTGAGTTTTCAAATTTATAAATGTCATGTTTGAATTGTCCAAATTGCTGTAAATGTAGCCTTTTGAGGGGTAAAAGTTACAATATAGGCGATGACTACATTTACACTAATTCGGACAATTGAGAGGTTACATTTACACTCTTGAAAACATGAGGATTGCATTTCAATATTTATACTATTTGAGGAACTAAAAGTGTGGATTTCCTTATAATATACGAAGTAATATAATAATGAAGTCATTGATAATAACTGTGATGTTATAAATGTGTTCTTTTTTAATATTTGATGATAAAATATCATTTAAAAGAATTGGTTCATTTCTAAAATAAAAGTGAATAGCTGTATGTCGCAATCAAATTTTTAACAATCTAAAATTTTAAAAACAGTGATATCATTTACCCACATGGAGTATATTTTTTGTTTAACTAAAAAAAATTCATCAACAAATTATATGACAAAATATTCATGTCTATATGAACAAAACTTTATATTAATCAATTTCTGCTCAATTTACAAATTTATTCTCACATGCATCGCACGGGTAGAATACTAGTACTACTATATTATCGAGTCTTTTTTGTTTTCACAAGCGTTAAAACAAAAATGCAAGTATATTCTTGATCATCAAGGCATATTCTCGTATAATGCGTCACTTCAATATTTGTGACCTTTATAATTCTCATTCTATTTACAATTCCCATTTACTTTTTTGTTGTTGCGATTAATGTTTCTTGATCTATCACATTTTCAATAGGGAAAAATAATTAAAATACCCCAAATTTTATATAAAAATTATTTTCGAACCATTATTGTATATTTTCTACAAATATAAATTTATTTGAATAATTATATAATTTAAAATGATCTAAACTTTGTTAGAATGTAATTAATATTGTAAAATTTCATTTGTGAATAAATAATATTACATCCGGTTTAATTTAATTTTAATTGGATCCTCATAAATATTTTGTGTATTTTAAGTACAGTTATGTACTTAACACAATTAATTACATTTGTGAAAAAACATATAATCATAGTACTAATATAACTTTTATATATATTACATGTGCAAATTTGATGTGCTTATCTCACACCCTTACAAAGTTTGGGGTGTTT